TTACCATGAAAATATACATTGGTAATTGTAGGGCTGGTTTTCAAGGAGATTTTCTTAAAATCCTGAGCTTTCTCTGTTTTCCTGTGTTCCCTTTCTTTAAATGCCTTTTACTTCAGTTAACACTGGAGATGAGTACTGGATGTATCACCCTTGGAGAACTTTCTTCTCTGATTGGCTGATGTGTCATTAAAAGCTCTATGAAAATAGAGCCAAACCCATCTGCCAACATGACTACAAATTCGCATTTCTCTCTCCTTTTTTTAATTAATCACTGTTATGATCATGGCACACAGCACTGGGTCCCCCATGTTGCCCAGGTTAATTTGAAAATGGCATTAACAAAATTAATCAATGCCAGAAAAGGAATTATGGGCATTTGACCCTTCTGTATCTCTAAATTCCTGTGCTTTTTTGGTAGGTAACCCACAACAATTTAGCAATAATTTACAGGGACAAAATCAAGGAAGCAAAGGTTAAAAGTTCTTTTTGGCAAGAGAAGTTAAGAACAAGAAGACCTTCTGTAAATATGTTGTAGAAAACAGAATGATCAAGGAAATGGTGGTGAACCATTAACCTTCAATGCAAAGAATGTGGAGATTCTCAATGGCTACTTTGCCTCTGTCTGAGCAAAAAACAAGATCCCCCCAGACAGCTACCAAAAATTACATAGACAAAGAAAAGGTAAGGCTAACAGTCATGACAACTAAACAGAATGTCAGAGAGCTTTTGATTAATTTGAATTTATTTAGGTTAGCAGAACTTGATAAACTTCATTCCAGATGATGAGAAGGAGCAAGACAGAAATAGAAATGTACTTTGCACTTGAAATGGTGAAGTCTGTCAGCTGTTCATTTGCAAGGAAATTTGTTTCACAGTCTTGAACTAGACCCGATTCCTCCCTTGGGCAAATTTGACCCTTTTCATAAAAAGAATCACTGTGCAGAGGTAAAGCTGCAGACAGGAATATTCACCCTGCAAATTGTTTCTGGTCCTTCCGTGCCAAGACACAGCCTACAAGGGAAAAACTGAGGCCTTGCAGGGCACGGACCTCCCCGCAGGAGACCAAGCTGCCTCTGCAGTCCGCGCGCCTCTTTACAAGGACTGCGGTACTCGGGAGGGGGGAGAAGGGCGCGCGGTACCTGCGAGGCGACTGTGGCCACGAGCGTGAAGAGGTTCCTCTCGATGTCGCCGCCCTGCTCGGTGCGCAGCCGCTTGCACGACAACACCAGCGCCTCGGCCGGCTCCGGCCCGCCGCGCTTCCGCTTGACGCGCAGCACCGCGGCGCGCTCCATAGTAGGAAGCCGCGCCGCACAGCTCGCCGGGAAACCAAACCGGCCCCGCGCGCCCGCCCCCTGCTTTGTTTGGCCCCGCCCCCGAGGCCCGGAGCCTCAGGGCCGGGTGCGTGACGTCACGCTGCGCACGGCTTCGTCCCCTTTGCCGAGAGCCGGCTCGGGTCCAGGGTGAGGCTCGCGGCACGGGGTGCTTCCGCCTTGACGGGCGTTGCGTTCTGGGAAGATGGTAGCGCGCTGCTGCTGAGCGGCTGGAGTGGCAGGTGAGGGCCGCGCGGGAGCAGCTGGTGCGGCTGTAACGCAGGCTCCGGCCGGCCAGCGTCGCTGTTCGTTTCTCCGTCACCCCCACCCCTCGGGGAGGCCGGACATAGACGTTCTTTCTAGACCGGGGTGTGCAGCCTCTGACCCGCTGGGCCTCCGCGCTTCTGGAAGTTTGGCCGCAGGAGAGCGGTGGCCATTAATAGAGCCGCTCTCTCCCTGCCCGGTTCCCAAGCCCCGCAGAGCTGGTAGGAGCCAGGCCTAGTCCCGTTCCCCTGTAGGGCAGGGCTGTGCCCCCTGCCTTCGCTGCTTGTTGGAGCTGGGCCTAGCCCCCTTAGAGTGTGCTGATAGCTGAGTACCTGAAGCTTTCATGAGAATCTCTAAAGGTGTTGAGGGAGAAGAGAAAAACACACTTCCCACATTTCAAGAAATTCTTTTTCTGTACGTGCTCTGCTGTGGAGTGCGCTTGCGTGGATGCAGATCTTCAGGCAACCATTGATGTCTACAGGGGCACATGAGAAAATGGGACTGATGTTTAACATTCAGAAGGCTAAGGTTTTCCACCAACAGACTCCTAATGAACAGTCCCCAGCTCCGGTAATCCAGGTCCACAGTGAGTAGAGGTACGCCTGTATGCTGATTGCATATTGGATTGGCACCAACAAAAAGGAAATTTACATTTATCAGCTTTTTTGGCTGGTGTAGCCAATAATAGTCACTGATAAATATAATTAGTTGGGTCTTCTGGCCAGAGCCCTCACATGCTGTGTGCATGTGCACAGCTGCCCACATGCATGTGGCCAGGAATGCAGCAGGGGAAGCTTGGAGAGCAGCATCCTGTGGGTAAGTCTGGAGGGGAAGGGGTGCCCTGTAGGTAAGTCTGTGGAGGGGAAGAGGCATGTGGGGGCAGGCAGATCGAGGTGCCTACTGTGAAGGAGGGAGTGGGGTAGGTACTGGGTCTGGGGGCACTGCCCAGCCAGGGCAGTGAATGGGACCTGGGGCAGGGAGCAGGATGAAGCTGGGGGGTGGGATTCCCTGCTGCTGCATACAGCTGCTTGGGGGGGGGGGCATGATTTGTGCATGGGGCAGATGCAGGCTGCTAGCTGTAGGCTGGCGGCTCTCTGCTGTGCTGCCTTTTCCCTGGGAGCCCCACACCACCTGGCAGCAGTGGGGGCAGCAAGTTGTACTTCCCAGTGCTGGGCAGGTAGGGGACACATGGCCAGCACAGGACTGCTGGGGCAAAGGCAGCTGGGTGGAGAGCCCTGAGGCCACAGCAGGCAGCCTGCATCTGTCTTCATTCCACTTGACTCTGCTCCAATTAAGAGCATCCCTGCACTTAAAAATGGCAGTGGCAGTGCTTGAACTAAAGCTCATTTAACAAGCTTTAGCTCGAGCACCTCTGCTGCCATTTTTAAGCACTGGGACCCTGCTTCCCTGAATAAACTGCCTGTGGCTCCATCCTACTCCCCACCCTGGGTCCCATTCACTACCCTGGCTGGGCAGTGCCCCCAACCCCAATCCCTGTTCCACTCTCTCCGCCACCATGAGGGCCTTGATCTGCACTCCCCCATGCCCCTTCCCTGCCCCATGCCTCTCCCCTTCCCCTTCCCCTTCACAGACTTACTTGCAGGGAGTTGCCCTCCTTGCTACCTGGCTGTATTCCTGTAAATCAGTTATCGGATTAATAATTTAGCCGATATGGCTGGTTAATAATTGGCTGTCGCCCAAAAAAAACTTTATCAGTGCATCCCTAACAGTGACTCTGGAGAACACTGAGTATTTCCCGTATCTCGGAAGCCATCTCTCACAGAAGGCTGACACTGAAGAAATCCAGCATTGCCTTAAATATGCAAATGAAGTCTTTGGACACCTGGGCATTCGAAGATCATGACATAGGATTTGAAACCAAGCTCATAGTTTATCAAGCCGTTGTGATTCCCACCTTACTGTATGGAGCTGAGACATGGGCAGTGTACAACAGACATTTAAAGTTGTTGGAGAAGTACCATCAACACTGCCTGCAGTAGATCCTCTGAATCCAAACACCATGTGTACTGAGGCAATGATCATCTGGCATCAGCTTTGTTGGGCCGGCCATGTCATCCAGGTGTCCAGCTCCAGGCTCCCAAACCAAGTTTTATTCTCCTTTGCTCAGCCAAGGTATATGCTGAAGAGGAGATCAGAGAAAGTGCTCAGGGCCAACTTAAAAAAATGCAGCATGGATGTCAAATCAGTGGAAGATTAGCACCCAGGACCACCCCAAATGGAAGAAGAGTCTGCTGCAGGGCATAACAGCAGCAGAAAATGGAAAAGTGGGAGCAGCAAAAACAGTGTCGTGGACCAAATAAAGAATCCAGCACCACACACCCCCATGGAAACCCATGTACAAGCTACAGTAGAGCCTACCTATCCCAAATAGGACTTGCAGATAAACAGTCATGGGAGACTGTCATCCTCAACTGTGAGGGGTTGCTGAAAAAGACTCTCTGGTATGCAGCATGCTGTGTAGTGTTATCTAAAGATGAAATTAAGGGCTGGGTCAAGCTTCTTTCACCTGAGCTGTCACATTGGGGCCAACCTGTCCCCAGCCCCTTCTTTATAGCTAGGTGGTGTTTCCCATACCTGCTCCAGGCACCAGATCAAGACCACCAGCTGGATCTGGCCTGGGGTCACACTCAGCACTGTCCATCTGACCGGCAGGGGAAAAATTTTGAGCACCACTGTTCTGGACTAATTGAATCAGAGGTGCATGAGATTTCAGGAGCCATATAGTTATAGTTTCATAGTTTGTAGGGTTGGAAGGGACCTGAGCAGATCATCAAGTCCGACCCCCTGCCATGGCAGGAAAGAGTACTGGGGTCAAACAACCCCAGCGAGGTGTTTGTCTAGCCTTGTCTTAAAGACCTCGAAGGTAGGAACCAGCACCACTTCGCTAATGTGAATTTACCCTTTGCCAGCTTGTGACCGTTATTTCTAGTCACTCCTGGTAGTGCTCGAGGGAACAGGGACTCCCCCAGTGCCTGCTGGTCCCCTCTGACTAGTTTGTAAATGCCCACTAGCTCCCCTCTCAGCCTTCTCTTGTGGAGGCTGAACAGGTTCAGGTCCCTCTCTCCGTAGGGCCAACATCTTGGCAGTGTTCTAGCCATCAAGGCATATTTTCATACAAATAGGGGAAGACCTCTTCCTGGTATTAAGGATTGTGATTTGGATAAACACAGATTCAGACACACAGGGTGTGAAATGGAAGCTGTGTAAGAGATCAGATTACTTTTTTTTTGCCTCTCTATTTTTAGTGATTGTGCCCATGTATTTCTGTTCCTGTTTATCCGCGATCGTATGTTATATAATAATGTATCTTCAGTGTGAACACAGAATGTTTGATTGATTGGGAGAAAACTCCCATGTTAAAGGTTGGCTTGAGAGAAGATAAAAGTGCATGTTTGTTTACTGAAGAGATGCTTAGGAACATGGCATATATAACAAGGCAGAAAACTACAGAGGTTTGTCATACTATAACTTCAGTTTTCTGTTCTGTTAACAGGTTTTTGACCAGCAGGTAAAAATCATACTCAAAGGCAAATCAACAACCCTGTATCCAATACATAGATATTATAAGTTGGGATCCATTATGAAGATCTTCTGTGGAAGGGCCAATCCAACCACAGGTGCAATGGAGTGGTTAGAGGAAGATGAGGATTATGACTATCATCAGGAAATTGCAAGGTATGATGGGAAGAAATACTGGAACTATAAATTAATAAAATGAGCGAATGAAGCAGTGCATAATTTCAAAAGCCAGTGTGGCAGGCTGCATTTCTGTAGGCTAGCAGTCCCTTTCTGAGACATTTAACCTTTTTTAATGCAGTTTTTCAGAGGTTTTCAATAGCTTACTGCATCTTACTTTTCCATTTAATTATAATAATCCTTGACAGCAACTGGTTCATAGGTTTGTTTATTTGTCTTCTATTTATTTTTCCCCAATTTGCTGAAAGAAAATATGATGCAGAAATTATCAGAAGAAACCAAATTATAGCATAATAATTTGTGTTCTGCTCATTCATACTTTATACTACACAAAATGGGAGAACATGTAGAACAATAATTGACCTGAATCTTTTGGAGCAAGGATTGAAATTGCAGTCTCTTAATGATCTAGCTGCTCACTAGGACTAATTTCTTTAGGTCTCATAGCAAAAATTATTCTCCCAATTTTATATTGCACTGTTTAATATGCTGTGTTTTCATTTTAACTTCATTTTTAGATCACGCTATGCAGACATGCTGCATGACAAAGACAGAGTAAGTACAGGAAAAAAAATGGCCCCTAAAATGTGGAAAATGTGTGGGTTTGTTTGTTTGTTTGTTTGTTTTTTCTTCCCCCTCAACAATGATTAAATGCAGAAGTTTCATGAAAGTTTCAGAGTATTTTGTTATCAGCATGCTTTAAGGCAGTGTTTCCCAACCTTTTCCAGCCCGAAACACACTTACATTAATAAAAATTTTCTGCAGCACACCTGTTATGGCATTCCCCATCCTGATACCTATTGCAGCTCGTTGCCAGGGCAAAATTCCACCGCACACCTGTTCGTTTCTGACTGCATACTTTTGTGCTGCTGCACACTAGTTGGGAAACACTGCTCTGAGGTACCAATCCTGCAATTTGAACAGCACAGATCCTACTGTGCCTGGTAGGATGGGTTTGATTTAAATCAGATCTGTTTAAATAATGATTTACATCACTGGTCAGAAAGCCTTGATTTAATCATTGTTTTCTACAAAAAGTGCATTCTTGTTGTTTGTTATAACTTTAATACATATTATTCACAACTCAGAGACAGAGATGTAGGTTTCATTTTACAAGGTACACACTATACATTTTAAAGCAGTGATTTACTTCGATAATTTTTTCAAATGAATTCTGCAGCTACATCAGAAAACTGAATTATGATTTGGTTATTTTACTTACCAAAGCTAATTGAAGCAGATACTTATTTGAAGTCATTAGGAGGTGAACTATCTCCAATTCACTAGATTAATCATGGATATTTGGGGAATATTTTTGCCATGCTGTATTAGGAGGACCATATCAATCATTACCAAAACCAACAGACATTTAAATTGTTTTATTTAACTAAAACAACAAGCTTGTGTATTTTGGATATTTTTATTCAACAACAAACATATAATTATTTTAATAAAACAAGGATATGCATTTTTGAATTTTTAACTATCTTAGTTATAAAGGTGAAATTTGTTTTTAACAAAAAATAAATAGATTACTTCAGCCAGGTTAACGTGAGAAACTTAAAATCCTAGGTTATGCAGCAAACTCGGTCTTCACCTTCCTGTGTATTCATGAACTGGAAAAGAAAGACAAGCTCAGTTAACAGAGATGCTTAATGGGATCTTCAAGACTGAGCACTGAGTCCCATTGGGTAGAGTGGTTTTCTTTAATCTTTACAAATCTCTAGAGGAGTTTCTGGGAGCTCCGTAAGATTGGACCCCTGTTGTGACCTATTTGTAAACCTTTTTTAGAAAAGAAAATGAATATATTGTCTCAAATAGTATATAATTAGAAGTTATAATCCCTATTCCATAATGATATTTTTGAGCTTTTACATATCTTAAACTATTTGATATAGATTTATTTTCTAAAAGCATCTTAAAAATACAATTAAATTTAAAAAAAATCTGATTTAAATGTAAAAAAAAAAAAAAAAAGATTTTTTTTTAAATTGTTTTTTATCCACCCTGGTGCCTGGCCACTTAGCTGTTGTCAGCATCTGTCAGGATGTCACCAGTAGGCCACTACTCTGGAGCTCAAAGTATTGCTGTAGTGACTATATGAATTTGGAACCTTCCAATGTTCCAATGTAGTAATAATAGGATCAGGAACCAACAGCTATTGTAGTAATAATAGGAATTTTCTAAGAAACCTCTTGTTACATATGGGAATTTTATTTCTTTGGCTCTCAGGGTAGTGTAAACAGAAAAATGCCTTTCTACAAGAAGTAAGGATGTTCTCAATTTATGGAGGGAAATAACTGAATAAAAAACTTTTAACTTATAGTTTCATAGTTGGTAGGGTTAGTAGGGACCTGAGCAGATCATCAACTGCGACCCCCTGCCATGGGCAGGAAAGGATGCTGGGGTCAAGTGACCCTGGGTAGGTGTCTATCTAGTCTCCTTTTGAAGACCCCCAGGGTAGGAGTGAGCACCACTTCCCTTGGAAGTTGGTTCCAGATCCTAGCCGCCCTGACTGTGAAGTAGTGCCTCCTGAAATCTAGCCTGAATCTACTCTCTGTCAACTTATGGCCGTTATTCCTTGTTACTCCCAGTAGTGCTTGGGGGAACAGGGACTCTCCCATTGCCTGCTGGTCCCCCTTGGCCAGTTTATAGATGGCCACCAGAATCCCAATCAGCCTTCTCTTGTGGAGGCTGAACAGGTTCAGGTCCTGTAGCCTCTGTTCGTAGGGCCTGCCCTGCTGCCCCCGATCATGTGAGTGGCCCTCCTCTGGACCCTCCTGATGCTGTCCACATCCTTCCTGAAGTGTGGCCCCCAAAACTGGACGCAGTACTCCAACTGTGGCCTGACCAACTTGATTGGTTACGAATACAGGAAACCCTTGCCATTTGCGGGGGATCTATTATGGAGATCCCCGCAAATGGCAAAATCCACGAATACTGACGGGGCTCCCTGTCAGACCACACAGCTGCCGCCTGCTTCCCCTCCACAAGAGGCTGGAAGTGCGGGACTCCCCTGCAGTACTTGGGGACTGACTGTGGCTGCCTCCGGGGTAGAAGATGCTTCTGCCTCCTTCCCCATCCCTGGAGCTGACTCTACGCCCGCCTAACTCTGCTCTCCACTCCACTCTCCCCAGCTCTGCCCACCCCCACCCCATGCAGCGCTCTGTGCCTGGCTTAACTGCAGGGGCAGGAGTTTGGTGCAGCACCAGAGGGAGCGGCGGCAGCACTCTCCCCAACCCACCCAGTTGGCGTAGCATGCCGTGAATATTCAAATCCGCAAATAGTGGATTCATGAATAGCAAGGGTTTCCTGTATCTGCTTTTCTTATGTTTTGAAAGAGCATTTTAGATTCATTTGGTACGTTAGCTATAGCAATTCCATCTAGTGTTTTCTGTCTGCATGTATTTGTGATTAAGTTGTGTCTTTTTATTCTCCTCTGCTTATTGTTGGTTTAAATTTTCTAATTTGGGCTAAGTGGAAAATTAAGGTAAACATACCTTCAAAGATAATGACTTGAAATCATTTAAATGACAGTAGATCTTCATTGTCCAGCTATAACATCTGTTAAGTGAATTTTATGAATATCTTCTGCATATACTTGGAAAGCAGTCTAATTGTGGGAACAGCCCTTTGTAACCCAAGTTTTAGAAGTAGTGTGGTGGGACAAGATCATTAAATAGCCATCTGACCAGGGTAGAGAAACTCATTCTCTAACCAGGATTCATGGATTGTAAACAGCTGGAAGGGACCTTGCAAGATCATTGGGTCCAGCCCCCCCCACACTAGGCAGGAAAGACAGCTGGGGTCAGGTGACCCAAGCAAGGAGTGACCATCCATTCTTCTCTTGAAGATTTCCAATGTAGGTGACTGCACCACCTCTGGAGGGAGTTTATTCCGTAGTTGACACCATGACTGTGAAGAAG